ACACACACACACACACACACACACACACACACACACACACAGGTTGCATCAAAGCTACATGTGTGTTTGCTGAGTCAGAATTCACACTTTAACTTTTTTGTTTATTTGTTTTATATATTCTGACTACTTCTTTTAACTTTAGCTACTATTTTAGCCATTCACATGTCAAAATATTCAGCTCATTTTGGAGGCGGATGACTTTTTATATATTGTAAATTTTATACTTTTCAAAATGAGTTACTTTAATTACAAATATTTTCTAATCGAAATACACAATATACAGTACAAAAGCCTTTTCTCCCTGAAATCTGCTTCAGCCTATGCTTTTGATTTCTTAAATGCGTTTAACTATCATTCTGCTAAGTAAGCTTGCTTTTTGCTACTTTTGGCTTTTAGCTGCAATTCTTCTTTTTTTTTAGCTAGACTTTGGATATTTTTAACTTTTAGCCAGCTTTTTGATGCCTTTGCTACTTTGGGCTTTTAGCTATCGTTCTGCTTCTGTTAGCTTTCAGCTAATTTTTTAGCTTATGTTTTTGCTACTTTAGCCTTTTGTAACTTTTAGCTAATGTTTTGCTACTTTTAGCTTTTAGGTGGCCTTTTGTTGTTTAGATTTTAGCTACTGTTCTGTCAAATTGAGCTAGCTTTTTGCTAATTTTCTTTTTTAGTTGCCTTTCTGCTACTATTAACATTTATCATTTTGCTACTTTGGCTAGTATTTTGATACTTCTTTGATATTAGAAGTCATTCAGCTAATTTAGCTAGCCTTCCTTTGGATTTGTCAACTTTTAGCTTCATGCTTTTAGCAGCCATTCTGATACTTAAGGCAGCCTTTTGCTACTTTTGGCTTTAAGCTATCATTCTTATTCTGTTAGCATTTAACTAGTCTTTTGATTCTTATAGCTTGTCTTTTGCAACTTTTATCTAGCTATTTTGCAACTTTAGCTTTTAGCTACTGGTCTGTCAAATTAATCTAACTTTTTAGTAATTAGAGCTTGCAGTTGCCTTTCTGCTACTAGCATTTAGATACCATTCATTAGCTTTTAGGTTTTAGTTAGCTTTTTGGTTCTTTTAGCTTTAACAACTCGTTTTTACTTTAACTCAGAAGTCAGGATCAAATTTCTCTTGTTGAAATGAGCTTTTTGGTTTGTGAGTTTAGTGAAGAAATTCTGAGCAGCTGAAAGATCTCAGTCAGTATTTTGATGCATATGTTTATGCGCAAATTTAAAAAAAAAGCTTCTTATTTGCCCATTCCCACACATTTCTGCATCTATGACACATCAGTTGCTTTTTAGAGGAAGAGGTTTGCACAGAGATGCAGAAACATGAACCTGTCCTTAAAATATCCACAGCTCTGGCTTTGAGCTGCAGAAATATCTCTTAAAAAAAACAAATAAGCTGCACGTTGTTTTCTCCACACTCCCACTCAACAACAGACCAGCTCACAAGTAGAAATCTGATCTAAACTTAATCGTATTTTTTCCTCTTGTCTCATCTTTATGTAATATTTATTTCAACTCTAATTTTTATGATTGATATTTTTTTTTTCCCTCGCTTTTGTAGCATTTTTCCCCCTCGGTGTATGAACAAATGCAAAGTTTCTGGTTTTTCAGTTGAGTTTATTTTACATTTTAGAAACTCTAGGAGCCACGAGTAAACCTGCAGTTGAATGAAAACGTGCAACAAGGTCTTTAATACAAGATGGAGCTTTGTTATGAATTATGGAGCAAAAAAACTGGAGAAATATTCGAACTCTCAGCAGCAGCATTTTTGATTAAATGAAGACTTTCAAGAGTTTTTTTGTGGGGAACTGTTCAGACTAGAGACAAATGTATCAGTTTTTCTGCATTGTTTTGGCACAAGATGTTTTTAGTTTAAATTATATTGTGACAACCTGTGTGCTTTTTTTTTTTTTTGCAGTCGAGAAGTGTTACAGGAGGTTTTGGACACAGACCTGAGCAACAAAGCTTTCCCCTTCTCCACACACAAAATCGTTAATGCTGCTGGACATCAGGTGATCACACAAACACAAACACACACTTGTCAGCTAAAATYAGTCATCAGCTGTGAACCGTACCACTTGAAGGAAGAAATAGTTTGATTTCAAAGATTCAGCCATGACTGACCCTGAAACAGGAAGAGTAAATGGCAGCCAGCTGTCCTTGTAAAATAATAACT